AAGCTACTTCATTTAAATGACAATGACACGTATATGCTTCTAATGAGAGATCCAACGGAAAGACTTAAGTTTAGGCTAAAGGATGCACTTAAGGTATGCGTAAGTAATGGTGGAATGGAGAAGTGTGAAATGAATTGACTACTCCAGAGAGATGCACAGGCCCCCACGGCTTACGCTCTTCCTAAGGTTCACGAGGAGGGTGTCCCTCTAAGATTAATTGTAAATAATAAAGGAAGCGTAATGCATGAAATCTCACTGTTTTTGTGCATACAAATAATGGAAAACAGCCAATTTTTGGTTATATTTAATTAAAAAATTTGATGATTTTATGAAATTGATTGATCAGAAACACTTTCAAAAGAGGATAGACTAGTAAACATTGATGTTGTGTCTATGTACACAAACATTCCTGTTCAAGTAGCTATTTAGGCTTTATTACAAACTCTGGAGCAGCATCCAGGGATAGCACAAGTAATAAGCTTGAGTGTAGTATTTATAAATAGACTTCTCAACCTACTCATGAGTAGCGCATATTTTACGAAAACGTGAGGGTTACTTTGAACACTGTTTTTATGCCCCACTTCTTTACTAATTCGATCATCTTTTTTTGGGAGAAGGCATCACGGCAAAATTATGACCTGGGAAAAGGTCACAGTCTGTCTCTTTGACTAAATGGTGTCTATCTGAAAATTTATTCCTCATTAGGGAAATATTATTCTCAATAAGGCCCAAGGGATAATTATTTTCCAGAAATAAATTTGTCAGCCGTTGCAACTCTTTAGTCAAATGTTTGCTATCCGCTAACCTCATACCTCTAAGAATCATCGACTCCGAAATTCCAACCTTATTCTTGTAATTATGGTTGGAAAGAAAATTAAGCAAAGATCCAACATATGTTGGCGTCCTATAAACATCTCTTCTCGAATGATGAGAACATCCAGAAAAGGTAAGGACTCATTATCTACCATTTCCATCGTGAACCTAATGTTATTTCAAGCTGGTTGAGTGAAAGTAGGAAACTATCTAAATTGTCCTTATCATGAGGCCAGATGACAAAATAGTCATCCACCTGTCTAACCCACAATTTGGGGTTAGTATTGCCCCTTGCAGGAAGTGTTCCCCCAGTCTTGCCATACACTTCTATAAAATAGGTTGTCATCGCTGAACACACAAACAGACACGCGCACATGCCTAAAGAGTGACGTGAGTATAGCTAACTAATTCCCTTCATACCGCGTCAAAATTGAAGGAGCTACGGATAAGCCAGTGAGTTTTCTTGACTCGTTAGACGGGAATGAGGTTGTAAGAATGGTACTTTGCTCTGACGAGGCCTGTCATTTGGCGAATGAAAATGTGTGCACATTTTCAGCGAACTCGAAGGAGATTGCCTCGAGCACAACGTCAGCAACGAGATTACAGTGAAGCCAATCATGAGGTGGTCATTTGAAATCCGTCGCCGTCTTCTGGTGGGCTGAAACCCAGAATCTTTTGATTACTTTCACACACTTTCACTGGAAAGAGAAGTGGAACAACAAGCTCAACAAGTTAGGGAAACCGGTCATGAGATGAAGGTCAAAAATGGACGAAGGTGTAAAGGGTAGAGTCATGGCTTTGGATTAGTTTGAAGAGGTGGGTGGAGGGGGTTCGGCCCCAGGTCCCCGTGGGACGTCAAACGAAGTCTTCTCTGGACAATCTAGCAATCGCAAACACGTCAATAGCGGACCTGCTTCGGTCTCCGGTGGGGCCAAGTTACGAATCCCTTCCACCCGTCTTTTATAACCAACTAAACGGTAGGGCGTGCCGGCGGGCGGGCGGACGGACAGCATTAAAAATGATGCAAAAGTTTGCTCAAGCCTGGCTGGCCAGGCAAGTCAGCCAAGACGAACGGTAATGCCGATCTCCGTGACTGGCTTGCCTGTTGTAGCTTCTGATTGGTCTACGTCTCAGCCAATCAGAGCAGAGTGTTTCAAGACCCACTCCGGGCAAGGCGATCGAGGGAGGGCATGCGTGCCTGGCGTGGTGCGACGAGCAGGCAAAGTTCCCTCGACCGACAGGCCAACCAGGCGTACCTGGACGCATTGATCCGCTTTCACCCAGCGCCCCTCTACCCGCAACCAGCCAGCAAGCCGGCCAGCCAGCCAGCCAGCCGGGCCGGCCAGCCATCCAACCGACCAACGTGAACCCAGA